AGACCAAAGGACCACAGTATCAGAGGATGTGGCCACAATTTGAGTAAACAGCTGAAGGCCAGGCACGTAGAGCTGATGTGCACGGTGATGCGGATAAGTATAGCAGGCCGATTCGATGAGGAGGCTAAACATTCAATAGACAATATCCATCCGTGAGCCCACAAAAGTTATGGGTGAAATAAGTATTCTCGGTAATAGTTGCCAACAGGAAATTTCTGCCACCTGTCAATAGCCATTTTCAAAGGACTTAGTCAGCAGTCCGGAAAATCAGTGAGTCCCATAAATACAGTTGAGAGGAATTGCGAATATGTTTTATTCCTTAAGATTCGAGCCACGTTCTTGACATGCACATGAACTTGTAGGTATGTATAAATGTGTTATTTTTCACGTATTTATTTTTTGTTGACACACTGAGTTATTTTCCGTTGGCCACTTGTATTAAAGAACCAATGCACGTTTCAATAATTTGCATTTAAAATATAAAATAAGAACACAATAAGGTGAAGAAGCAGAAACATCATAAAAGGGAAACGAAACTTGTGTTTCTCCGAAATAAATTTGTTGGAACTAAATAACTGAAAGAAATCCGTGCGAAATATTTTACAGTACCCTTAGTTTATAGCAAAGAAATTATTATTTGTTCTGACTTTCGCTGACTTTATTACCAAAAACGCAAGAACAGGTACACTTAAATGAAAATGGTTTAAAATAAATTCAATAAATTAAGTAATCCCTAAGAAGCAAAGAAAGTAAATACATACAATTATTGTTAAGTTATCATTGTTATTTCATCAATTTTTTAGAGATTATCAGTGACAATTGACAAAAATTACGTTGTTTTAAGTGCTAACAGAATATTACAATCAAAGTAATTGTGGATTAGCCGCAACTCTGGTGGTGAAACTCTAGCTCTGTAAAAAGTTTAACAATTAATAATAACCTTCAAGTATAGTAATTATTATTATGTTTCCACAAAATATACACCTCAGTGTCCAATAGAAGACTCTTAAAGTAAAAGTGACTATTTTTTATGCTCCGTTCTTGCATTCCGTAGGTATATAATTCATTCATAAATTGAGGAGCATTCGGGGAGGGGAGGGACTAGCGCCAGAATCACGTAGCGAATGTTGACAGCCATGGAGCCAAAGCACGTGGCCAACTTCTCACACCCTTTTGCAGTGTTACAAGATAAAGCAGCAATTTCCTCGCTGAATTTCCCAAACAAAACCTGGAAAATTTCCCACTGTTTGACAAGAGAGCGTATAGCGACTCGGAGCGCAAAACTAAGAGAGCGGACTGTTTGATGCCGACGACGAATTCACTGCTGCTGTTTTCCACTTGCTTTTCAGACCCAATGGACCAGTTTGGAAAACTCACACAATCAGTTTGTTTTGAAATTTTGCCGCGATGCGTTCGCCTTCAGAGCGTTCTCTCCACACTACGAACAAATATTCGCACTCATCAAATGGTCTTAACAAAATAAAATAAAATTATCACAAAATGTGTAATTACAAAACATGTGAAGTGATACCAAAAAATTTAAGCAATTAAATTAAAAATGTTTTAGATATACTGGGTAAATAATAATTGCTAATAAACAACAACTTTAAACTGCAATTTCGTAACAAATAAGAGGTAAACAAAAATTCATATAAATAAACGAATGTACAAATAATAAAAAATACCTGTGCCGTTGCAGTGCTATTGCAAAATGCAGGCTTTTTAGGCTAAAGTTATTATTACAAAAGCTGTTAACTTATATATGCAGCTGGAGCTTATAATAAGTTTAAAATGTGAAATGTTGAGAAATACTACTTAGTGTATCAATTTAATAAACGAGGTAAAAGTAAGAAAAAGTGTTATCTAAAATAAACAACTAATTTTGTTTTGCAACAAACGGATTTGGCAACTCTTTGTGAAATTGTAAATCCTAAATTACAAAAAAACGTAAGTAATAAATTGTACTATATATAGTTTCGGTGAAAAAAAAAACTAGCTAATTTTGTAGAGAATAAGATCACCTAAACTTACAAATGCAACTTTCCGAAATTTCTTGGGAAATTCGTCTTTTTCAGCAAGCTTTAGGAAAATGTATGACACGGGTCAGTTTGTTCAATCAAAATTGAATAATTGAATTATACACAGATACAAACTAATTTTAAAAAAATGTGTAACAGCGCGTTATTCTAAATATATGTGTTTACAAAATGTAAATGTGTCAACCGGAAATGATTGCGAAATTGAACGTACAATTTCTTAAAGTTTTTCGTTTCCCTCGTAATCTGTATTGAGATACAAAAATCATAGCTAAAAATAACTATTTTCCGTTATTCAAAAAAAAAACAAAGGTAAATCTAAATAGAAGTCAGTAAAAAATAAGTTGAATCAGATTTCCCCGCCTAGCCGGTTCCTCGGTCTTTTTCTTTCCATTTGGGATCTAACCCCAACTCGCACATGATTACTCACATGTCAGCAGAAAAAGAAGATTTATTACCAAGCAACCTAAAACCAAATGTTTGCCATTTCTCTTTGTTTTGGTTACCTTTTGTTTTACCTTTTTGGATGGATCCCTCTACCTTTTTTTCATTTATACTTTTCTAGGGTTTTCGGTTTCTTGTCGGGAAATTAAACTATTAAGCTTTTTTGCTACCGCTGTGGCGGTTGTGCGTAAAGTTTTAATGAGACATAAAGGACATGCTGAAATTATGCCGGCCCAAGGTGCAGATCCTGCTATCAGACCAGCTGTCATTAAGACGGAGCGAAAGTCATTTTCTGTGAGGTCCGTAGACAAATTCATCCAGATAAGTGGAACGGCCGTAAAAGTTTAGTGGACCGAACAAACATAAACTGCCGCTGATTACCTGAAGGTCATTTTGTTGTTTCTTGCTCCTCTGCTTCTAAGTTGTGTAAGCCAAGTTCGAGGGTCTGTCAGCAACAGGCATTTAAGTTATGACACTTTTAGCCCAAGTGTTAACCATTAACATTGCAGAAAGATGGTATATGAGAAAGGGTGGCAAACCTGTGGTTTACCGCATATTAGATCCCATTTTGATGGCTAAACTAATGAAACATTACAAAGTTTAATAAATGCCGAGATATACAGTTCTTCATTATCAATATTTGTATTTAACACGTTATTCTTAGTTTTGTTATACATTTATATATCCAATCCCATATATACATTTGTAAATCCCATAATTTATTCATTGCTTTTACTCGGTTAATTTTGTATGTACACCGATTATTTTCATGGAGTATATTTTCGTACAATGTTTATCCTAAATTCTAGTTTATTCAGAAAACAATTAGCGATGTACAAAAAGCATTTTAAATTGATGGGTAAATCCGGATCTTTCATATGGCAATTGATCAGCGCACTTACTACACGCATAAAAAGACTCCATCAACACAATCCATATTTTGTTCGGCAATCGAATATTTAAAATATTTTGGCCACTCCGTCATTGTCTTTATGCTTAGTTTAGCGTGCGCCAACAAAAATAAATTAATTCAGCCAAAGTATAGGCATTAATCTCTCTCGGGGGCCGTTGCTTTTCTATTTATTAGGTCATATTCAGATTTATAGATTTTCTTAAGCCCAATCAGAAAATTAAAAAAAAAAACAATTTGCGTTCTGCACTTAATTTAAATTTAGTCATACTTTTCCCTTGTATTATATTTTACTTTAAATTTATATCTCGACATTCCTAAAATATTTCACGATGGTGCAAAAAATATACTGCCTAAAGACTTAAGAAATAGTAAACCTTACCTACATACTTATCTTTAGAACGACTTTCAAACATTTCAACTCTTTAAAATTTGTTTAAACAAAAAATGTGTTTAGTCAGCAGTTCTGAAATGCCCCAAAACAAGTAAATCTCCGGACCTCTGATATTTATTCAATCAATAAACTGACGCCCGTAATTAATCGTTTTGCCCGTTGACTTTGAGCAATTGTTGAAACATTCTTATGCCAAATGGGCATTTGAAATATCTCTCCCCCCTTCTGCCTTATCATTTAATTGGCTGCTGTGTAAATTGATCACGAGCATTGAAGTATCAACAATCAATAAATATTATTCAGTAAGTGCGACCTCTCAGCAATTTCACATGATTTGTCGTTTGCCCGAACGCTTTTATTCAGCATCCTCATTGCTCATTGCTCATTTTGCATATATTTAAATTTATTTCCCAATGCACTTTCCTGTGCTTCCGCTTGACCATCACAAATTTATTTAATTTTATTAAACTTTTTACGCGCATATTTGTTTTTAACTTTGCTGGATCTGTGCAAATATGCAAAATGATTGACAGCACAATTAAGACGCCGCAAACGAGTGTGACTTGGTTAGAAGAGGGGTAAATTGAAGGGGGCACGTGCCTAAAGCTGCAACCTAATATGGCAGCCGCAGTTTACTTTTCATTCTTTCAACAAACAAACAAAGCGCGTCGCAGAACATTTGTTAAAGTAAACATTAAGACGTTTAATATTGTATAATAGAAAATAAGTGTTACAAAAGGTAACCAAGGCGCGTAATTCATCTCTTTACAAAAGAGTCCGAAAGATTCACTTCATATAAAACATTTGCCGAGGTTCACGTTAATATGTCTTTATATTTAAAAGTGAGTTGACTAAGCGTCTGGATGGAGCCCCAATCTCCAGAGAAAAGTGATGCGGCACATTCTAAACAAACTATCGTTTATTCATAAACATTTGTTATTTGTTAGTAGTATTAATGTAGGGAATAGATGTCGTTTGTCTAATATATCTCGACCTATTAGGCCTGTTTACTCGTGTTCGTGTAAAGATAAAAACGTTTTGTTATGGTCATGCTATATAGACGAATTTATAAAATGAAAATAAAGTAGAAATGTCAAAAGACCGTCAAGTCTTGGAAGAAAATTAATAATTGTACTATTTTATTATGTAACGTATTTATAATCATAAAAATAACACACCTCCCCTCATAAAAAGCCTTTGCTTTAGGGTTCAAATGTTTCAAATTATCCGTCACTCCGAAACGGAGCATTTAATCGAACCAGAAAAGTAAAAGCGAACTCACAGCAAATGTGTAGAAATGGGCGCAAGCAACAGCAAGCCACAGACGGTGCAGATGGCCAATCCAATGGCTTTTGTGATTACCCGGGATGTGGTGGAAAGAATCGAGGGCACTGCCAAGGACTCAAAATTAGGTACCACCCTCTGCGAAAAATGTAAGCAGAAACCCGATTTAGAATCAAGTTCCGGTGTCCCCGTTACGATGGAACATAGCCCGAAGGAAACTCGAGATATGCAGCCAGTTCCAGTGGCCAAGTCCTGGAAAAAGCGCTACATGGAGGTCGAGGAAACGGAGTTCGGAAAATCCCTGCTGCGGGTTCAAGAGCTCTTTGGCCAGACCGTAAATTGGGCCAAGGATTATGAAGGCGAGATTGGGAAATTCGAGGAGGAACTGATCCACTGCTATCAACGGTATCCCAACGAAACCCTGCAGTGCTCCAATTTGGCCAGACAGTATCACAGGTTCGTGTTCACCAAGCAGAACGCTGAAATATCCAAAATGAAAGTGGACCCCGATGGATCCGGTGATCCGAGGGCACCCAAGTCATCCAGAGATACTGAGAGATAATCTATTTTTTTTAAGCCAGACGCGATCTCGAATCAGTTTTCAAATCGGTTTAATTTATATTCCTTTGGCTCAAGAAACAGCAAGCTAACGTATTCAGTTATATCTAATCGACGGAATTGAAAATAAAATATAATTATATTTAGCGAACACAATTCAAGAGCAATTAGTTGAAACGTTTTATTTGGTTTATTTTGTTCTTTTATTAGCCTTGGCTGATTGCCAGCAAACAAGAGTCGTCAAACAAATGAATGACAACATGAAAAGCACGAAAGCCAGAAAGTGAAATATGAAAAAAAAAGCAAACACGTCTCGAATGCTCCTTCACGCGCGCTCATGCTCATCCTCTTTTGGTATATTCATTCGTGGATAACTACTTCTCTGCACAACATGCCGTATACGCGATATGTCGCTCGCAGCTTTTTATACCTGGTCGGGCTTCCATTATAAACGCATCGCAGGTGAAAATGCTCTGCTAAGTGAGTGGCCAGAGTGGGACTGAAATATGGGGTGGTTTTGGGATATGTAGGTCTTTTCAGGTAGTGGAAAAACCAACACAAGACTTACACAGTCTTGGGGCTCAAGGCTGCCTTGAACTACTTAGCGCCACAATGTCTAGCTCGATGTGCATTAGTGGATCCAACACTTGCCATCCAAGCAAATGACTTGGAAGAGGACAACATAACACATAGGTTTCTTTTCCCAGACTGCAAGAAACTTTGTATGCACACAAATAACGAAAAAAAGTGTACTTTATATATATATAAAGCTGATATTAAATTGTGCTGAGATATGAAATTATAATATCAAAGCAAACCACCATATTTTATTATTTATTTTTTCAATTTTTTTTCTTCTAAATATAGACTTCAATTACAAATAAAATTTGTAATTTAGTATTACCATAATTACTACAAATAATCACAATGGGATAATTAGATGCTTATTTACAGAAAAGATTATATTGTTTAATTTATGAATGAATTTTTTATTTAGAATGTTGATTTGAATTGAAATATAACCAGCGTTGAGAAAGAATTGTTTATATATTGTCTTAGAGACGTATAGCTTTATAAATATAGTTTCATTTAGAGCGATTTAAATATAATGCCTAAAAAAATATTGAAAAAAAAAACAGATAAAAACTCAGGTTCTCCAAAAGAACGATTTTGAAACTTATTTTACATTTTTAAGTGTTCCCCATTTTTTTTAGTAGAAGCAAACCCTCCACATGCTAGGAAAGGCCCTAAATCATAATTTATTTTTAGCTATGCTAACGTTATAATGCGGTTTTACATATTAAGCCATAAATCTGCACAACAAATGTTTTCACAAGCCAACCAGAGGAAAAAAACGTGCCAAATGTAAGAAGTTGTTGTTGCCATGTGAAATGGAATTTTGAACATTGAGTTAGTTTCGCACCTAAAGCCAACAGAGAGTTTCGCAATTACGTATGCAAATTCAATTTAAGCTGAGAGCGAAAAACTACCAAATGGGAACCCATCACACATATCCCCATTAAACCGCAAAAAATCCTCGGAACCTCCCTTCTCCACAACAAAGTGGCTGCGAGGTCAAGTGCATTAGTTGTTTGTACCCAATGTCACAATCGCTGCTGATATCTGGCGATATCTGATGCTTTTCTGATTGAGCTGTTAGTTTATTCAACTATAGTAGTCGAAAGTAAAGGCAAGACTATTAATACAGACTACATATATGAATACAGTCAACGTTTCACCGTCTTTGTATATACCTATGTACATACAATGTGTGTACTTGTTCAGCGCGCAAGTTTTTGCACTATTGCGTTGGTCTATTATCTACTTAGTTATTCAAAATTTTAAAAATTATTAAATTAAATTTATATTGCGTAAAAGTGAGCTTAAAACTATCTTCTTTTTGGCAAATTGACAAACAGACTTTTCCTTCAAAAATTAATGTCAGCCATAAAAGAGAATGAAAAATGCAATAAGAATGAGTGCCCACACAGTTCAATGCACGTTGCATCAACTTTAACTTATTTGTCTCGGCTTCGCGTTCATTTGTTTCGGTGTGCAACGTGCCAAGAATATTTGGATGTGGTCTAAGTAAAAAAATATTTTCGAAGTTCATTTACATTTTGGCAAAGTCAGATTAATGACCAGCTATACATCTCCCTCACTAAATTTTTGGTGGGGGCAAGAGGTCATACTCTTCTCTGCTCCGTATCTAAAAGCTAGCTCTGACATTAAAGCGTGGAAGTTATTAGAAAAATGCGTGAGAGGCAGAATAGTCACTAAAAAATACCCAAAATACCGCAAAAATGTAATAAACGAACTTTTATTGATGCGCACTTCCGCAAACAACCGCAAAAACCAGACGACAATAGCAACAACGGGAAGCAATGGGTTCAAGCAAAAGCACAACGATAAAAAATGATTGCGAATTCCACGGCGGCAGCGAAAATACTCTGAAATAACACTTTACATAAATAATAAGAATTTAGAATAATTGTAGGAATGCTCCCATTTCTTAGCTGCTCAAACGGACAAAGGAGCATAATAAATTAATTAGTCAGGAAACGGAGAAACCATTATTAAACATTAAAAGAAAATGTAAAGCTGGAAGCCATTTCAAAAATTTAAAATTGTATTTAAAGTTGCAAACAATTTTTATATATATGAAAAGCATAAAAATTTGTATATTCAAGCATCACATTTATGTTAACATACCCCACAAGAGTAGCCAAAGCAATTTGAGCAAAAACATTTATAAAACACTTTTGGCCATTTCTCTTCATTAACTGCATGCAAGGCGAGAACATTGGTACAATAAGGTTGCCATTCCCTCCCTAAGCCCATCCCAATTCTGCTTTTCCTTTTATACGTCTACGCTCAGAGAAGTTGAGTGCGAATAATTTTTTTAGTAATTTTGTAGACTGTCGCCTTAACATTTTGTATAGTATAATGTAATTTGATTATTATTAAATAATAATTACGCAAATGGCAAATGCATTAGGGGCTTAACTCTACGAAGTTGAGAACGTCTTGTCATTAAAAAGTGATACATTTGGTTGGCAAGAAATCTTTTGCATGGTTGATATAGAACCGAGCTAAGGAACAAGGAAGTTCTCTAGGTACAATAAAAAATATGAATAGTTAATTTTAATAAGTGTGTCTTTAAAATACATTTTTTTATATATATTATTAATTATATATTGATAAAAATATATATTTAATTTTTATATAAAAGAGTCTAAAACTGTATTCTAATACCTTTTTTAAAACACATAAGTTTTATTTTGACACTTTCGTGGTATTAATTTATACTCGTCTTGTTAAGACATTTTTCATAATCAACAATTTAAAAATCATGTTGCAAAAATATAGTTCCTATGGCAATTTTTTGGAGTGTACATTAAATACATTACTATTGGTAAAACTACTTTGCATCAACAATAAATGGAATGTTTAGTAAAGCTTGAATTGACACATTTTGAAAATAAGTATACATTTTTTCGCAGTGTTTTTTTCTTTGCCATTTTACTTGGAAGTGAGAGTTCTAAATGGCCAAAAAGCTAAAGCTTAATAAAGTTCTGTTGCCAAATTTTGGTTGGCCACTTGATTGTCAGACAGGATGTAATTGATGACATGGAATGGGAAGTGGGGGCCGCTTTTGACAAATCGCTAAACGCAAATCATCTTCCAATTAATTATTGTCTTCAAGTGTGGCTACTTTTGTGAATTCATGAATCACATTTTTAAGAGCTCCGGTTTTCGGTTACGACAACAAAGATGAATTGTAATTCATACGACACGGCTGCTTGAATATTACTGGCCAGTAAAGATTACAAGTCGTAAAACAAGTAAGCATCAAAAGCTGTCTATAAATAAAGTGAAATTTAAACGGAAAAAAATTCTAGTGGTATGGAAAAATGCAAAATGCAACGCTCCGTTAATAATTAATTGCATAATGAACCGCAAATTAAGCCACACACGAGTGATGACAGCAGCAACCACAGCAACCATGGATAATGGCACTAGCAAAAAAAAAAAAAAACAATGTAAATACAGCTGGTTACTCGGTCGGAGAAGTAAATAATATAGCGCCTAAGTTGCTTGTCACAGATCAATTGGAAAAGTTTTATTTCATTTTTAATAGATACTATGCACACCACTCGACCGATAAGACCTTAAACAAATATTGAGTTTCAAGCAAATATTATTTTTCCTGGCTTGTCTATTTCTATGGTGTTTTTCTCGTTTGCTTTGCAATCTTTGTTGCAGTTATGTACCAACAAAGTTGGTTGTTTTACAAGTTTTTTTACCCTGCCGCTGCGAAACTCTATTTACGGTTAAGCGAAGCTCTTTTAATATAAGGAGGGAAAACTAAATGGAAACCTTGTCATATCAAGTTTACATTCTTTAGTAAAATATTCAAAATCTAATGACTCAGAGTCATATTTAAATGTTTAGTGTGCATTTTGAGCCTTAAAACTAAGCTTTGGATGTTTCATAATTTATTTTCTCAATTTTATTTAGTATTCTATTATTATTGTTAAGGCACTGGTCATTATACTATGAAAAAATTAAATATAAACATTACTAATCATTTTAAATTATACATTTACCTTCTTATTAAAATATTGCAAGCCTTTGGAAAATTTTTAAAGACTTTGAAACGACAATTAATATTTCGCTCCTATCATGTAAAGGATTGTGATTGTGAGTGCCATGTACGACTTATGGTAGGTCAGTTCAAAAAGGGGAAAAAGAGCGACATTATTCATATAAAAAATTTCCAAGTATAAATCACATATAAAATTTATAGGGTCGGAAACGTCTCCTTCACTGCATTGCATTTTTGGTAACTTAAATATAAAATTTAAATTATTAAGTAATTAAAGTAACTAATAATATATGATATTTTTGGTTACTTAGAAAAACATAAGATATTTCTTAGCCTTTTTAGTCCCAATATTTCAAAAAAAAATTGTTAGAATTCACCAACAGATCTGTTTTAACGTATAGTTTGCAAAACTATAGCAAAGCAAGATGCAGTGAACGATATCATTCATTTTACCAGCCACATCATTAACAAACAGACTTTAATTATTTCACTCGTTTTGCTCTCAACTGAATAAGAGTATCTCCTTCTGCCCCTCA